TCACCATCTATGACAACCGTGAGATATTGGTTCAACGAATTTAAACGTGGTCGTACATCCGTTTTTGATGAGGAGTGGCCAGGCCACCCGGCAGACGTGGTTACCGAGGAAATCGTTGAAAAGTTCCACGACATGATTCTTGCTGATCGCCGAACTAAAGTGCACGAAGTAGCAGAGACCGTAGGCATGTCATACGGAACGGCAATCAATATTTTACATGATAAGTTAAGTATGAGAAAGGTGTCAGCCTGATGGGTGCCGCAATTGCTCACGGTGGACAACAAGCGGATACGGCTGTCAATGTCGAAGCAGTGTTTGGACCTCTTTAAGCGAAATTCGCAGGAGTTTTTGCGTCGAGTCGTCACCGTTGATGAAACCTGGATACATTATTATATGCCAGAGACCAAGCGACAGTCAAAACAATGGATTCTTCCGGGTGAATCTGCTCCGAAGAAGGCAAAGACGGTACCATCGGCCGGAAAGGTCATGGCCACGATTTTTTGGGATTCGAAGGGAATAATCCTCATGGACTTCTTGGACTTTTTGCAGAAAGGAAGAACGACCACGGTGCAGTACTACAGTAAAAAAGTGCTGTTTCACCACAATAACGCACCAGCACATTCATCCGGAATTGTCGCGACCAGATTGCATGAACTGCACTATGAATTGCTGCCTCACCCGACTTTGTCTCCCCTGCGACTTTTTTCTGTTCCCCAACATGAAAACTTGGCTCGGGGGGAAAAAAATCAGCTCAAACAAGGAGGTTATTGTCAAGACAGAAGCGTATTTTGAAGAGTTCGACAAATCGTATTTTTTGGAGGGGTTAAAGAAATGGCAGAAACGTTGGGAAAAGTATATCAACCTCAAAGGAGATTACGTTGAAAAATAAAAAAAAAATTGTGAAAAACTTGTGTCTTTATTCCTAACACGGGTACTTATTGATCGACCCTCGTATAACTTATGGACTGTTGAAGCTATAATTGTTTTATTTATACATTGAAAGCTTGCAAGTACAGTAAACTCCTGTGTAGGGAATAGGGTGTGATGGGTACATGAATCTGCCAGTTGTGTAAGAAAAACTCTACAGAAACCCAATACAAAGCCATGTTTTTCTGTTCTTGGGTGGGAGTCAGTGGACTGATGGAGGAAAGAGTTCGCTTATACTGTAACATGATCACTAATTCAGTTAGCTTGTATTGTAATTTAATCTGCATATGGAAGAACAACAGGCAGCACGCTCTGTATTTCAGCATCCCGTTACAATTGTTCAAATTAGCGTCCATTGTTTATCTTCCGTCAAAATTGCAAACACTTTTACATTCTACACTTCAACGCCAAGAAAAACACCTTGATACATTTACGAAAATGACAACAGCCCAGGTGAGGTGAAATAATATGCAACAGAAATTTTAAAGGATTTTATCTCATTTTACTTAAGAAGATTACAGCATGTGATTTTAACACAAATTAAAACAGTGTAGCAGTTTTTAACACAGTTTTAGTAAAATATCTATAACAAAAACACCTGAAGATGGCCGTTTGAGGCCAAAACTTGTAAGTGTTGACGTGTAGAATGTAAATGTATTGCAATTTTGATGGAAGATAAACAGTGGACGCTAACATGCAGCACAGTTTGTGGAGCCTGGGAGAAATGCTATATAGTGGGTGAACATGTACTTTGCAACCTTGATTTTGAATTAACTTTATAAAAGTGGTAAATTTCTGTCTAATATTTTTGCTTGTGGCATGAAGATTTTGGATGCTTTGGTTCTGGTTAACAAAAAATTTACTATACACTCAACTCTTGATTATCTGGGGGCGGATAAACCGGTTTGCATCTTAACTGGGGCTCCCGGGGCTTTTTTGAGGCTTATATGTTAACCTTTATGAGCCGAAGGACACTGTATGGGGGACCTTTAAAGTAAAGCCAAGTGGCCGAAAGACACCGTATGGGTATGCACAGTCCACGCGTGCACACAGTGTTTTAACATCTAATTTTAAGACAGAAATTCTTGTTCTACTTACATTATTTTTGGACACCAGCTTTATAAGTAGACTGTCTTCCCTCCTGCATCATCTGACTGAATGTTGCATGTCACTGAATGCAGAGCCCGACGTCGCAATTCATGCACTTTGTCCGTAATTAACTCTGTTTTCCACGTGAAGCGCGCACACGCAGTGTTAGTCTCATATTAGCATGAAGTAAGCCAGTGATGGCGAGTGGTGTCCTTTATTCATAACGCTTATTCATTCATTCATCAGTAATCTGTCAGACGACAGGTCCACAGTCTCTTCCAAAACAGTTCCTCCACTTAATGCGATCTTCTGTTTTTGGAAAGAGACTATCCAGGAAAAGTGATAATGTGGTAGTTTTTCCATTTGCTTTCCACATCGCAGCAAGGGAGGCCCTGCCAGTAGCTACGATACCGCTGGTATAGCTCTCAGGGTCCTTGGCATACTCAAACCCCCTCACCACGATAAGGTGGAGACACCAACGAGGTGTAACGCTTATAAAACATCGCAATTTCAACTATGTACCATGGCCCCTTTTCACATTGAAGAAGTCGAAATTGAGAGGCCGCTCGTAAATCACACCATTCAGAATGCATTACAGTTTATTCTGAAGGGACTGGAAGCAAGTGGAATGAGGTGATATTCCAAGAACTGCCTCTGTGTGGATAGTCTGACATACGTGAATAAGGCAATGTAGAATAAGAACTCACCCACACTCGGGTATACAGGAAGCCTACGTGACCGGAGAATGTGCAGTACGTAAACAGCCTCTCCTATTGCCAGATAAAAAACACAGACAGTGCGTCAGCAGCATGCATTTATACTGCAGAAACGTATTGTGCATTTTTGTGGACAGACGCTCAAAATTGGGTTGAAAATTTTTTTTTGGAATCAGTGTAACAATTTTTACAGATTCTAAAATCTGTAAATTACAGTATCTGATTCTATATACTTTCTAGATAAAAGCAGCGTTTATTTTGTTCATTTATCACAGCATTTTGAGTAACATGATTACAATTTTTATTACTCTACAATGGCAGGCAGGTAAATTAACTCCATCCCACTGCCACTATCGGAATTTAAATGGCCCATCCCATAAAGGTTAATATTCATTCACTTTTGTTTCACATGGTGAGTTGTAACACTATTTTCGCACTAGTGTGAACCGAGCTCTGCATTTTTTGGTCACGTTATGCTAACACAATGTTCCAGGGTAGGGGTGAAAGAATGCAAGGATTTGTGAAAAGTTTCAAGGACAGATACACTGCCCAGTTAGTATCTTGGTATTGATCTTCAAGTGCGTTAGCAAAATGTCAGGGTGTAAAAGGAAGTGTGTTGTGTTAACTGTTCAACAGAAACTTGAAATTATCAATCAGTTGGGAAAAAGAGGTGTAATCAAACAATTAGCAATGTAATATGGTACTGGAGAACAAACTGTTCATGATTTGAAAAAACAAAAGAATCGATTAATTTCCTTTTCTTCGTCTTCTAATTCAAGTGGAATGAAGAAGAGAAAAACAATGAAAAATCAACATCTTGACAAAGCAATGCTGATCTGGTTTAATCAACTAAGGGCACAGGGAACAACAATAACAGGAGCAGTTTGTGCTAAACAAGCACATATGCCATATACGAGATTTCAAGAGCATGGGATACAGTGAAGCCATCTGTATTGAAAAATTCATGGAAGAAACTGATACTTTTCATCACTAATGAAAATGACGAAATCTATGGATTCACTGGATTCGGTGAAAATGAGATAGCCATAGAATTGACAAAATTGGCTAACCAAGTTGATGGTGGTGAAAAAGTCAATGAGGAAAATATAAGAGAGTGGTTTGACTGTGACTCATGTGAGCTGGGCTTCGAAATGTTAAGCAGTGACAAAACCGTAAGTTCGGTGGGGGTGCAGCCAGAAGAGCGGGAAGAAAGTGAGAATAAGAAAGAGATGGACAGTGCTGCTAGCAAGAAAATATCACATGATGCTGCTCTTAATCATTTGGAATCCTTACTAGACTATCTTGAGAGTGAAGAGAACAGTTTATTAAGTGACAAGCTAATATTACATAGGCTTTGTACAGATAACCCGTAAAAAGGAAAATGCTGCGAAAAAGCAAATGACAGTATTAAATTTTTTTAAGTGTTAAGTGTGAATATTCGTAAAAAGTGTTGGATGTTGTTGAACACTGTGATTGAAATAACTGATTCATACTTCAGCGTAATGTAAAAAAAAGTACTAAATAGGCCATGAGATGACATAAAAATGAGGTTGAATAAATTTAAATAAAGGTAGGCCTATAATATTATGAAGGTACAGTATTACAGTACAACTTTTAATAAAATTTGTCTTAACCGTGTTTTCGATTAATCGTGATTTCCATCCCCACCGTTATCCCAAATAATCAAGAGTTGAGTGTATATCCAAAATTCATTTCTGTATATTTATGTATGGCAGCATTTAGCAGAATGCATTCTTTCTGAGTGGTATCATTCCTAATGCATTTTTAGTTTAATTCCCTTATTTTGAAAAAAAAAATTGATGTAGGCTTATGAGGTCACCTTCCTGTCTGT